GCCAAGGCAAGGTTATCGAATACAACACGCCACATAAACTTCTTTCGGATACCTCGAGTGCATTCTACCAGCTTTGCGAACGTTCCGGTGAGCTGGATGAATTGAAAGAGGCGGCTAAGAAGCATAGTGCCATGCTGCAGTAAATGTACATAATTGGTGGAATAAAGAGTTTCGTAGTTAATTTGTGTTAGTGGAGGGTGACGCGTCTTACCCACCTTGCTTAACCATGACATCGATGTGCATCCCCGTCGATGCTTCCAAGCCTCTGCACTTTTCAGGGCAGACGTTAATTCTTCCTACTACTAGCATTGGATCTGTCCCACAATTGTGCTTGGATCTTCTCATCCATGCACCATCTTTGCAGTGCAAACGCGTTGCTTACTTGGACGCCACGGAGTGTGTACCATTTGTCGCTCCCAGTGAAGTAGGTGCGGCGAATGACATTTATTCTGCGCTAGATGGTGCGTATCATTTGCTCTTACTATCAGTCTTTCAAGCCAGTGGTGGCATTACAATTGTGCAACAGAGAAGTCCCGTGATCAAAGTATGTAAGAGCGTACGTTAACGCAGGCATTCCGAGCGTCGTTTGTCCAACGTCTGATGCAATGGATCGAAAGTGCCGGGTTTTCTGAGATTCTGATTCTCTCCAGCATGGATGCAGCGATGCGTGTAGATCATGAATTCGCTACGCCATTTGTTTATGCCCGTCCCATGCAAGCGACGGAAGGGCCAGTCGCTTCTGCTATTACGTCTCAGTATCCGCCCTTTCAGCCTTCGTTGCAAGGTTCTAACGTCGTATCTATGCCAGGTAGTGGATTGGCACGAGTGTACTTGGAGCATGCGCCGCCAAATACCACAGCGTTGTTCTTGTTCTGTGCTGAAGGCGATAATCGTTCAGACGCACATGCCATGGCGAAACGTGTCACGGCTCTCCTGCATAAAGAGACGGGTATGTGATGTTCTATGTAACTAATGGTACAGATTCGTTCCCAGAACCACCAAGCTGGAACTCGCTGTTCGGTGATGCCACTGCATCTATGATGTTTGGGTAGGTTCAATTGGAGGCAGCAAGTCCTCCATAAGCCCGGCCGTGCGAATATGTGCATGTCCATGCCGTACAAGCCATTCGTGCATTCGCGTGGCCAAGTCCATGGTATCGAGAGGCATCCCAGCCAAATGCGCCACAGCCAAGCCATGGGATTCTTGATTCACACCAGGCCGGACATGGTGCGAGAAAAGAAACGTCCCTTCTCGCTGCTCTAACCGTGTACAAAAGAAATCCACAGCTGCTTGGAGAGGTCGTTTGTTCACGTCCTTTTGATACCCCAGCATATCAGCAAGTTCATAATAATGCGTGGCAAACAATGAACGGCATTGAATCTTCATAGCAAGTGTGTAAAGCGTTGAGAAAGCCACAGAGAGACCGACAGATGTATTTGTCCCACGGCCAATCTCGTCTGCAATCACAAAGCTTCGAGGCGTGGCGCGATGAAGGATATCGGCTGTTTCTGCCATTTCAACCATGAATGTACTGCGACTGTGAAACAGGTCATCTTTGGCACCCACGCGGCTGAAAATGGCGTCTACGACACCAATCCGTGCTGCATTCGCAGGGACAAACGAGCCAGCTTGAGCAAGCACAGTAATGAGGGCATTTTGTCGTAGAAATGTAGACTTACCACCCATATTCGGCCCTGTGATTAGATGCAAACGGGTCGTATCACCAAGCTCCAAATCATTTTTTGTGAATAAACGTTCTTGCTCAAGCAATCCCATCTCTACACCCAAATGACGCCCACCTTGGATATTGAAACTGTAAGAGTCATCAATGGTGGGACGCACAAGCGAAAGCTCTTCAGCAGCCTGTGCAAATCCAAGAAGAACGTCCAACTGGTCAACAAGACGCGCATTGCGACGCAGCTTCGTTGTGTGCTCGAGTACTTCGAGACGCAATGCTTCCAGAAGGCGTGACTCGCACTCTGTAAGCTGGTCCTTTAACTTTTGTAGTTTCATGCCAATACGCGACCATTGTGCATGATAGAAGGTACGTGTGGTTTTTGTCTTGTAGGCCAAGGATAACGACGCATCTACTGTACCACGGGAGGACGGGAAGTGTACCACATGGCCTTGGCCCTGCAAGAACTTGAGTGTAACAGGCTCGTCATGCATAGTTCGCAGATCATTTTCGAGCTTTCGGGCTTCTTGACGTTGCACATTGTACTCATCCGTCAATGTTTGCAATAGTGGAGAGGAACTTGGGCGAATGAGGTGCTCAATGGCATCGCCCCAACTCTCTTCTTCCAGAACCAGTGAGGCGGACGCGGATCGCTTGGTACGCCGTTTCTTTTGTGGCTCCTGCGCATCGACAGGTGCGACACCCCCGTGGTATAGAGCATCTTGAGCTTGAAGTAGAACTTCCTGTTGTCGCATACGCTTTTCCATCACACCCTCATCAATCGCAGCCTCCAAACGCTGGCCTAAGGCGTGCAACGATGTGAAGCGCGAGAGAATTTCTTGCAGCTCTGCCCCACCGATTGGTTCTGCGACACTTCCAGCTAGACAAGACGTGATTTCATCAGTGACTTGGATAAAATCACGAATTTCCAGCAGGTCTTGCACATCATTTCGGCGAAGACTGATGCGCTGTAGTGTGCGCAATACGTCACCGACACGTCCTCGCATCATCGTCCTGACATCTTGACGGAGAAAAGCGGAGCGTAGAAAGAGTTCTACCATAGCATGACGCGCTCGTATCAGCGGAATATTGGTGCTGGGCGATGTCAGCCACTGTACTAGAAGTCGTGCACCGCCTTGGGTGACAGTGCGCCGCAAAATGCTCACCAGACTACCACGGGCGCTTCGTTCATTCGTCTCGCGGATTTCTAGTGCATTCAGTGTGGCTGCATCGATATGCATCACTTGAGTCGCTTTCTGGCAATGAGGTAAACCTACTTCCAGACTAGGCATGTGTTCCATGAGTCGTGTTTGCAAGTATGCTGTGAGAAGCGATATCGTCTTTCGTTCTGCCTCCGAAATCCATGCATGCTCCATATAGGTCTGAGTAGTACTGGCCACTGGAGTAGGAATTCGTGCCACAGATGTACTTATACGATCAGTTGCATCCCATATTGCATGATCAGGAGGACAAATCGCCCCCTCTAGAACGATTTCACGAGGCGCGATGCGCGCTACTTCATCACGAAGTGACTTATCATCTTCACTCACAGCTGTCTGGAAATCGGCTGTACTAACATCTAGCCATGCCAGGCCATATGATCCACTCTCTTGCTCCGTTATGGCCAAAATAAAATTGTTATGAAATGGATCAAGAAATCGCTCGTCAATCAGGGTCCCCGGCGAAACAACGCGAGTTACACGGCGATCGAAAGGCAAAGATCGATCGTCTGTTTTAAATTCTTCACATATAGCCACAAGTTGTCCGTGATCTTGCACCAATACTTTAAGGTACTTGTCTAGTTGGAAGATAGGAAAGCCAGCCATAGGTATGCGTTGTCCAGCCCACTTGCGCGTAGCTAACTTGATTCCCAGTAGGGATGCAAGTGTAGGTGCCTGCTCAAAATAAGACTCGTAAAATCCACCAACACGCGTGAGTAGAATACACTGAGGGAAAGCACGCATATTTTCCAAGACACCTAGCGCGAGAGGTGGCCATTCTGTTGGTGTTGGTGGTACCTCTGCATCGGAAACTGGGGATAGAGATATCGGTATATGTGTAGGAAGGTCGGATACCGACTTGCTCCGGATACGCCAGGGTGCCACAGTAGCATGGAACTCGCGCAGCACCCCTAGGCGTCTTGAGCTGGCCCAAGCACGTCTGAGGGTCGTGCACCACCGCATCGAGGTGAGAGGCAGAGATGACTAAGCACGTCCAAAAAATGAGCTGCAGTCTAGTCATGCCACCAAGATAACTTTGCAGACGCCCACGACGTATCAATCTCTTGTATGTCCCATCCCTACGTCCTAGTCTCCGGGAAGGACAGTGCTGGGTGGTGTTGGACCACACCGTTTGGGAAGACTGACTGGACGCCATGTTTTCGTATTCATATATTGAATGAGTTTATTCCTCTTATTTCGATTCTGATCAGTGCCCTCCTCTGGGCCGCGTTTAGCCTACGTGATCAAACGAAGCGCAGGCAAGAAATTGCACGCGAGGTTGCACAACTTAATCCTGAGTCCTCGCACTTCTACAATACGTTTCCTGCTGAGGAGACGCAGCCCGTTTACGAGCAACCTGCCAATGCAGCACAGCGTGTATTCCAAACTGAAAATGCCATCTTGATTGACGAAGCGTTGTCGATTAAAGAGGACCTATCGACTCGCGCAGCAAATGAAGAGCGTGAACAGCAATGGCGTCGTAAGATTATGTACGAGTTTATCATTGCTGTGATGCTCGCCATTACCTACGTGGTAAATGTCATGTTGACCGGTGTTAAGTGGGAGCGTTCTTGGCTCGCATTTTGGGTGTATTTTGTGGCTATGGCGGGAGTCTCCTATGTTAATCAGACCTCTCTTTACCTTCACAAACTTCTCCTATCATCCGTGGCCACTGTGGTGACTATTTCCAATCTGCGCTCGCTATTTATCGTCAATGATAAAGGCATATACTCTATGCAGATTATTGTTGTCATCCAGACCCTACTTACCTTTATCATGCTGGGCTTGAGCGTGTTTTCACCCCTATCACAAAAACTTCCTTCTGCCTTAAAAGCACTCTTGGAAACCATGCACAAACGCACGTTGTTTTGTGATTTGCGCACAGCTGTGCCCACACCCCCCCACATAACTCGTGCACGTGAAGATGTTGGCCAGCTTGTTCCCTCCTATTCAAACAAGACACAACCACTTCTTCCTCCGCCTGAGCAACATGCATCCCTCCTCAGCCGTGCGCTTTTCATGTTTGTACAGCCCGCGATTTGGAAGCATTACTTCCAGCCCATTACTCTCCCAGACATCCCGCAGCTCATGGCTGGCGATCGTGCTGCCTCTGCCACGGCGATTTTCCGTACCCATAATGGACCCGAGACCCAAAAACCATTGTGGAGGCGCCTCATTCGTCATTTCGTGCCTACGTTTGCCTACCAGTCCTTCTTCGCATTCCTGGCTACCTTGCTTACGGTGGTGCCTGTCTTCTTCCTTTCGCGACTGCTCCATTTTTTCACAACGAGGGCAAATGAAGGACCAGACGAAGCACCCATTCACCTGGGCATCTTCTTTGCGCTTGGTATGTTTGTAAGTCAAGTCTTCCTGTCCATCTGTCAATCCCAGGCGCTCATGACAGGACGACACATCTGTGTGCAGATTCGCGCCATCCTTACATTTGAGGTGCTGAGTAAGACTATGCGGCGCGGCATTAGTATGACCAAGCCTGAAAAGGCACAGCAAGTCAAGTCAAGTGACGACGACACAGAAGACGACAAGGCCCCTGCCACAGATGGTGCAGTAACCAATCTTGTCTCTGTGGATGTAAGCCGCATCAGTGAGTTTGCTGCTTATATCCATTTCCTTCTACCGGAACAGCCATTGATCGTCGTGCTGTGCGTCATTTATCTCATTGCTCTTCTGGGTAAGTCGGGCGTTATTGGCCTGGTCTTGTTGGTTGTGGCCATTCCTTTCCAGACGTACCTCTCGCGTGTCCTTGTATCGATCGGCACCCGTATGCTCCGCGCCACCGATGAACGCTTAAACTTGGCCAACGAAGTTCTGGCCTGTATCAAGACTGTTAAGTTTTTTGCATGGGAAAAGCCATTTGAAACACGCATGAAGGAAACTCGTGAGAAGGAGCTGCGATTGCTACGCACCCACTTCTTCTTCTCGATTCTCAACCATATTACCTTTATTGGAACACCTATGCTTGTTACCATGGCGACGTTCGGTGCTCATACCCTCCTGTTCAAAGAGAAGCTCACAGCCGAGAAAGCATTCACGGCTCTAGCCCTCTTCAACACGTTGCGCCGACCTTTAGCGGATTTGCCTGGTATGATCCACTGGCTCTTATCGGCTATTGTGTCAGTTCGACGTATCAACAACTACTTAATTCAAGAAGAGACGCATAAGTACGAACAACTGCTGGGGGATGACGCCCAAGCTGCAGAAGCAGCTTTGCATCGTACATTCAAAGTCATTGGCTTCGATCATGCGTCGTTTACCTATGGCGCAGACAATCAAGATGTGGAGTCAGATGGTCGTTTCATGTTGCATGACATCAATTGCAAATTCCCGGTGGGGAAAATTAGTGTCGTCATTGGTCCTGTTGGCTCAGGCAAGACCTCTCTACTTATGGCGCTGCTGGGTGAACTGCAGTGCACAAAAGGTCGCGTTGTGATGCCTTGCCCTATCGCTCGTTCGTTGGTGAAACCTAACCCCATGACTCACCTTACCGAGTCCACAGCATACTGCAGTCAGAGTGCGTGGTTACTAGGCACAACCATTCGTCAGAACATCTTGTTTGGTTCTGATTACGATGAAGCAAGATATATGGAGGTCCTGCATGCTTGTGCTCTGGAGCCCGATTTGGATATTCTTGAGTTCCATGATGAGACAGAAGTGGGTGAGAAAGGCACAGCGCTGTCCGGCGGCCAGAAGGCACGTATTGCGTTGGCCCGTGCGTTTTACTCGCATGCCAAGCATATTTTGATCGATGATGCACTCAGTGCCGTGGATGCGCACACGGCGAAGCATTTGTACGAACACTGCTTGAAAGGTCCGTTGGCACAGGGCCGAACTATCATCTTGGTTACACACGCTGTATCGCTGATGTTGCCATCGGCGGCTTACACTGTGGTCATGGAGGATGGCCGCGTAGCAGCAGAAGGCCCACCCCAGAAGCTTCTGGCTGATGGTCAAATCCCTGACATGGCGATTCTAGCGCCAGACAGTGCGGAAGAGACTGGACCGAAAAAGAAGATGGATGTTCTCGAGGAAGATGAGCGGAAGAAGAAGATGGAAGAACGACGTGCTAAGAAAGCTCTAGCTGATCAAAACGAGGAAAAGATTTCTCGCGAGCAGTCGAGTTTGGAACTGTACTGGTTCTATATGAGCGCGGTTGCCAAGTCGCCTTATGTTGCATTGATTGTATGGATTGGTCTTACTAGTCTGTACTTAAGTATTCGTGCCATCGATGTAAGCAGTGGAGCCTGGTTGCGCAACTGGGCAAACTCCTACAAGAAGGCCTCGTCTTCTGTGCACACGATGATTTACTCTTGGATCTCACTCGCTGTGCCGCTCTCCAATGACACGTCTTCGGAGGATCAGACTTGGTACTATATGAAGGGCTACTCGGCTATTGTCCTAGCCTTTATTGGGATTAGCTTGCTCACCGACATTTTGCAATACGCAGCTTCCTTACAAGCATCGAAGCGTTTGTATGGGCGTATGGTCAAGTCCCTCTTGCTCGCCAAACCGCAGTTCTATGACAAGACACCCATCGGCCGTATCACGAATCGTCTATCGCGTGATATGGAAGAAGTGGACCAAGAGCTGAGTCCTGTAATGCAAATGACCGTGGAGAATTTGATTGCGCTCATTGCGATTGGTGCTGTGATCTGTTGGGCCGCTCCCAAGTTCTTGTTCGTTTTGGCATTTGTCATTCTCATGTACTTTATGATCGGCTCCATGTATCTGGCGTCCTCGCGTGACTTGAAACGCATTGAGAGTATTCAGCGCTCACCTTTGTATACCCTGGTTGGTGAAACTATTGCTGGTACTGTTACCATTCGTGCATACAGCGATGGAGAACGGGTAATGCGTCAATGCTTAGGGCTCATCGACAAATGGAACCGTGCTTTCATCTTTTTGTGGTACGAGAATCGATGGCTTAGCATCTGTTGTGATGTATCAGGTGCTGGCGTTACGTTGCTAGCTGCCCTTTTCCTCTTACTGGGTGGCTCAGATGCCGCATTGGCTGGTTTCACCTTGTCCTACGCCATTACACTAGTAGAAGTGGTGCTTTGGCTCGTCCGATTGTACTCGGTGGTGGAGATCAACATGAATTCGGTGGAGCGCATTGGCGAATACATCCGCATCGAGTCGGAAAAGCAAGGCGGCGTGGAGCCCCCAGCCCATTGGCCC